ATTTGCTTTGGTGTGTATGTTGATACAAACGGAACTGCCTATTATTCAGATTTTACAAATAATCGAGTAATGAAACAACTCAATTCGTCTTCAAATGGTGTTGTCATTGCTGGTAACAATGGTAATGGTAATGCAGCAAATCAATTTAATGGTCCCATGGGTATCTACTTAGATGTTAACAATCGATCAATTATATATGTAGTCGACAGTTCAAATCACCGAGTACAACGATGGATTATTGGAGGAACATCTGGTACGACAGTAGCCGGTGGAAATTCAAATGGATCGGCCTTAAGTCAATTGAATAATCCCAGATCAGTTATTAGTGATTCAAATGGAAATCTTTATATTTCGGATACGAATAATCATCGAATAGTTATGTGGGCTAGTGGAGCAACAGTTGGAATACTCATAGCAGGTACTAGTGGAGTATCAGGTTCAACTGCAACAACTTTAAACTATCCCAATGGTATTACATTTGATGCGACCAAGAACTTGTATGTGGCTGATTCTAATAATTTTCGCATCCAAAAATATGTCTTATGTACAAGTATGTTGTGTCTCATGAAAAATAAACTTCTCTTTGATAATCTAGAGTGATGATTGTTATATTTCTTGTTTTCAGGTACGACAGCAACAACAATTGCAACTACTACAACAGGTTATGTATAACATCATGTATTCTTATTCACCATTTACGTAATTCTAGCATGTATATCTATGTCAAATAGAGATATCGATATGAGCACACCTATGCAAATATAAGAGACGTATGATTTGAGAATATGTTGAGCACATTGAAGGTCATTTCGTTCTCAGTAGAGTAACTTTTGAAGATATCTGATTGTGTTCATATCTAAGTATGTAAGTGAAGATGTTCAGTAAAAGTAACTTAATATTCTTCTTACTTTCTATGCATTCATAGATGAATGTTGGCAAATGAAAAACCACTTTTCATACCGCTACAAAAGCCATCATTTTAGATGAAAACCTACCTATTACTGTGAGATGGTAGAACTGTAAATAGTTTGTTATTGGACTCTGATTTCTATCCGCCTAATGCCAAATAAACTGATTGAATTTCATCTAGAGTTGATTCCTTTTTTCCAATGTCATTGCGCTCTTCATTGACTCTGCAGAATTTAAAACTCACTGTATTATTTCATTTTACGCTGAAATCGTCATTTTTTCGAAGCTTTAAACAATATGTATGGCTTAAGTCTATCGTTGAGTTCTAATGTGGAGGACTCCAAAGCTTGCAATGGCCTGGTATGCAAGGAAAGCATTTTTGGCATTCAGCATATAACTAATGGATATCTTTCCCGTATTTTCAATAACAAAAACTGAGTTCTAAATATAAGCTCATTCAGAAAGCGTGTCAATCATCAAACTAAATAGCTTTCAGTGCAATTCATACAAGATTAGGATGTGAAACATGACCAAGGCACATGTCTGATGATCGAAAAACTTTGAAATGTTTATCAAATGCATTCAAGTTATCTAAGATGAACAATTCAAAAGTTTTCTCAGTCGCATAGACCTTCATAAAACATATCTGTTACAAACTACGAGACAGAGCAGTAAGGTTTTTCTGTGCTTGTTATAGAATACAGCATATATGCACAACCATATTTCACAAAAGAAGAATCACTTTGAAGAGAAGTTATTTAGAGAACAGATATTTTCATAAATACATGTTCAAAATGTCATTGTATAATAGTGATGCCTAGAAAAATCTTCTGTGACTTTCATTTCTCATGGATGAAGGGACATTATTTTTTGTCTTTTCTAGTTACGGCTGTTCCACCATGTACACCTCAAGCGACATCAAGTGGAACATTGTTTTCTGTTACAAATCCAACATCATTCCCTTATCCAAGTTACACTTGCTATGCATACACTTGGGTTGCGACTGGATCATCAGCAACATTATCCTTCTTTTTTCGTCATGATCCTGGTGGTTGGATGCTAGACGATGTTAATGTTTATCATGGTTTGACACAATTAATTACGAACGGGGGATTTGAAACTGGTAGTCTAACTGGATGGACTTATTCAGGTTCATGCTTCTTTTCTACCGGTATGGCGTACTCTGGAAGTAGCTTTGCTAAATCAGGAACCTATTACTATTATGATCGCTGTCGTACGTATGGTGATACAATAAGTCAAACATTTGCAACAGTTCCTGGTGATACATATGTTATTAGTTTTTGGTTAACGAACTATTGGTGCTGCTCAGCGACTGAAATAGCCAATGTGACAATAACATGAAACACAGATGAAGCTTCAAAATCTGACTTTTTTCTGATTGACGAACCACATTGACTCTATTTAATCGAGTGTTTGTGTGATATTTCCGCGTGTGAGTGATTTATAGAAAAAAAATGAATCCTACTTTATGATGTTCGATTATAGGCTGAGTGATTTGTTTCCTTGTGTCGCTGGGCCATTCTTCAATACGATGGTTTTCCTAGAAAAACACAGAATGCAAAAATTTCCCAACAGTAACGAGATGTGAAACCCTTTCTTGCTCTATCAAATCTGAAATTTGCAGTCAATTAGAGCATAACTTACAGTTGAAAACTGAAATTCAGATATTCAGCTCATATATTCAGCTATTCAAGTAATTCACAGAAAAGATCTGCGTCCGTGACATCTATGTCGATGTGTGTGCTGTCGAAGCACACATGTGTCATCTTTATCGAAATATTTTCATATCTGAAATAATCTTCAATAATTAAATTCAACTTTCAGGTTTGATATGCTACTAC